AATTAATAAGCAAACAGGAAGATTCCCTTTCCCACTCTTTTTTTTATAGGCCTAAAGGCTCTTTTTCTGAACCAATCTTTTTTTCTTGATAATTGCTAGAGTTAACTTCCAAGCCCTGATATATCACATAAAGATATACATACAACCTATAAAGGAACTTCTATAGCAGCTTTTGATACGACTTAAAAACGTTTATCTTTCGAGACCAGCAGTTAGCGTAATGGCTATGTCGCTGGACTCCCATGTAGTCGACCGCGGTTCGTGTCCCAGACCTGGTGGTTTAAAACTCACACCGGGCGCGTGTGCGTGTGTGCCCAAGATCCCAATAGGAGAATGGAGGAGAAGGGATTGTGGCGTGGCCATCCCCCCTGAGGGATGATTTCTCGCTTTCTGTCTCTCTGTCTCTCTCTGTCTGTCTGGTGAGTGCACGTGCCCTATAGCAAAAACCTCTCCCCCCCTTCCCCCCCCCAAAAAAAAACCTTTTATCTTTAAATCTTACTCCATTTGCTAGACCTTTACAAATCAACTTTGTTAGTGATAGAAGTCTCTTAAGATTTTTTAAAAGTGAATTTTATTTATAGTATTCTCTCTTAATTTGTTCACTATTTTTGCTTTTCCACCCATGTTCCCAGGTTCCACACGATTTTTACCAAGAAGCAGGTAGAATTTTTCTGCTTCATATTTTAGAAGAAGTAGAATTAGTTTACCTTTAAATTATCTTTATAGTTCACATTGCTTCTAAAAATTGTTTAGTTTAACCTTTATCTTTTCCAACTCTGCCTGAGCTAAGTGGCCCTCGTTTGGGCTTCCGTACTTTTAAATTTTTTTATCATAAATTTGATCCTTTTTTTTTTGAAATTGATTATTCACATATCTGCTTTAGATGGTGCATCTAGGAACTAGGGGTATTTATCTCTCTATTACAAAGTTATAACCTGCAACCTGGCACATTTAGGTGTTCTGCTACTGTGTTTTGGGTTGAATTGTTCTGCACTTCCTTCTGAGGCATATTCTGCTTGTACCTCCTCTAGGATAGGTCATCCTTAAGGACAAGACCCCATCTTGAAAGCTTCATGGTCTCATGTCAACAAGTTCAACATTAACCCTCTTTAGCCCTAACCATGTGGAAAGCAACCACACTGGCCCATGGTCTATTCTACTATGTGCCCCACACTCATGTCCTTAGTATGTTCTGACTGTTGGCTATCAACTGACTGCTGAAGTGAGGAAAACCCACCCACCCTTCTGGCCTCCACCATGCTATTTATCCCAGCTCTGTGCTGGTGAGTGCAAAGGAATAATTTCTCTTCAAAGAACTATTAGAAATATTTTTTGTTTAAAATTTTTTTTGTAAACTTCTCTTCCTTCATAGCTATATACTTTACTTGACTTGAGAAAGTGTTTAATTCCACACTTAAACCTCCTGATTCTGCTGGGGAAGCTTTTATTCCCCTGATAGCATATCAGAAAACTTTCATTTTCTCCTTGATAACATATCAAGAAGATACAACAATATCTTCATTTGTCCTGTTTTTCAAAATGTTGTATCTAGGACACACTTCTTAAAATCTGAGTTCCAGATAAAGCAGGGCAATGAAAGAAATACACGGATAAAAGTCAGGAAACGTAAACTCCATGTAACCTGTACATGTGTACGTGTGTGTGCATGCATGTGTGTTTTAACCATTCTCTGAAGAAATTTATTTTGTATTCAAAGAAATCATAGCTCTCATTTCTCTGAATTAATAAGCAAACAGGAAGATTCCCTTTCCCACTCTTTTTTTTATAGGCCTAAAGGCTCTTTTTCTGAACCAATCTTTTTTTCTTGATAATTGCTAGAGTTAACTTCCAAGCCCTGATATATCACATAAAGATATACATACAACCTATAAAGGAACTTCTATAGCAGCTTTTGATACGACTTAAAAACGTTTATCTTTCGAGACCAGCAGTTAGCGTAATGGCTATGTCGCTGGACTCCCATGTAGTCGACCGCGGTTCGTGTCCCAGACCTGGTGGTTTAAAACTCACACCGGGCGCGTGTGCGTGTGTGCCCAAGATCCCAATAGGAGAATGGAGGAGAAGGGATTGTGGCGTGGCCATCCCCCCTGAGGGATGATTTCTCGCTTTCTGTCTCTCTGTCTCTCTCTGTCTGTCTGGTGAGTGCACGTGCCCTATAGCAAAAACCTCTCCCCCCCTTCCCCCCCCCAAAAAAAAACCTTTTATCTTTAAATCTTACTCCATTTGCTAGACCTTTACAAATCAACTTTGTTAGTGATAGAAGTCTCTTAAGATTTTTTAAAAGTGAATTTTATTTATAGTATTCTCTCTTAATTTGTTCACTATTTTTGCTTTTCCACCCATGTTCCCAGGTTCCACACGATTTTTACCAAGAAGCAGGTAGAATTTTTCTGCTTCATATTTTAGAAGAAGTAGAATTAGTTTACCTTTAAATTATCTTTATAGTTCACATTGCTTCTAAAAATTGTTTAGTTTAAAAAAATTCTTCTAATTAAAAAATGTTGATTGTCACTGTAAAAATTTTGGAAACTACAGAAATTATAAAGAAAAAAATAATCCTGATCTTTTGTCATCAGAATAATTTCTACACACTTAAGTTGTCATCTTTTCTCCACCTGCTCCTTACTTTTAAAACTGCAAAGACCCCTCTGGTACTCTTTATATTCTGAGGGTTACTGGTCTGCAAGTTGCTCATAGGGCTTCCTGTTTCCTAGAAAGTGCCCAAATTGGCATGTATTCTACAATATAACTTTTGAAAGTACAGGGTCATCATTTGGCAAATTTATATTAAGACAATTTTTATTTAGAAAACACCAGATTGATTTCACATTTCTTGTTCTTTTTTAAAAGTTTGCTAGAGGGTGCTTGCACTAGCTGGAGAGAGACAGGGGGACAGAGAGAGAGAAAGAGAGAGAGAGAGGGAGAGGGAAAGTATGAAAGCCTCCCCTATGGAGTATTGTCATGCAACAATCCCTTCTCCATTCCTCCCTTTGGGATTTTCAACATGCACACACACAAGATGGCATGTATTTCAAGCTGCCAAGTCTGAGACTTGACCCATGCAATGGGTCATGTGGGATCTAGACACTTTAACCATCATGCCACCAACTGGCTCAATCTTACATATCATATATGATAAATATTATGCACACATTTATCTACATATAGTGCATATATTCTTCTTGCAAATAGCAAGTCACTAGATTTTTCTAGGAAGTTGTTTGGATATAAATAAGCTACATGTGTCCCTGTGAAATTAAAATAAGAATGAAAATTAAAAAATTATTGCAAGAAACTAGTCTTCCTGGGAATGGCACTATTAGCACTAAGTGTTTAGCACTTAGTTTGAGCTCATCTGCTTGCCAGTGGAGATGCTGAAACAGGGATGAATGAAAGTCTGAGACACATTTGTAACCTTGTTTGGGCTGGGGACATATAGGCAAGCCAGAGCTCGTCCATAAAGTGAAAGGATGCTCTGAACCAAACGTATCGGCAGGTGCTCAGATCAACCCAATATGCTTACATATCTGAACTATCTTGGGAACCAGAGGTCCTGGCTGAATAGTAACAAAGGGAATAGGAAGAGGATGCTCCCACCCCTCCATGCTAATAAAATGCACTAACAACTTAGAACTCCAGTTATCTGAGAGGGTGCTGAATGTTCTAGTCCACCCCTAGCTAGGCAGCTCTAACACCTAGGATTTGGAGGGGCTGGGGATTTCTGGATCCTCCAGGGGGCCTAGACTCCTTTCATTGCTTTTCTAGGCCAGGTGTCTCAGACATTCTAAAACCATGACCAAGTTCTTAGATGTCCTGAACCTCCCAATTACCCATTTCCTCCAAAAAGAATGGTTTTCACTCTTAAAGGACACTCTCAAAGTCCAGATGCCATGAAATCAGAAAGGGGCCAGCTATGTATAGTTCTTAGATCATCTCTGCTTTGGTCTTAGAGCAGATAAGCCACAACTTTCCCCCCTGCTAGCCTCCATTCTCCTCCATTAAGTGAGGATGTTTCTTCTCACAGACTTCGGTACAATGGGACGTTTGCCATCCTAAGCTGTTTTTAATATTCGTAGAATAACTGGATTGCATTTATTGCATTCATTTTCATTATTGCATAATAATAAAGACTGGAATTGACCGAGTGTTTACCAAATGCTGAAATACTGGTTGAAGGACTTTAAACGTATTAACTCATGATAGCTTAGAATAACCTTATGTTAACCTAATATAACCTAGATAATATTATCTACAGTGTAGAGGAAACTGTCGCACAAAGGTTAAACAGCTTGCTAATGAACCACATGGCTGGTTATTGACAGAGGCAAGGCTTAAAATCCAGGCTGTCTGGTTGCGGAGCCCAGGTTCTAAATTCCTTTATTTTCCGCCTCCCAATAGCACAGTCTGTAAAGAATAAAAGTCTTAATGAAATGCTTGGCTTACCAATCCTGGTAACTTTTTTCTTAAAATTTCACTTACTAAAAGGGTAGGTGAAAGATAAAGGGCAAGTTCAGATTAAAAATCAGCCCCCTAATTCATCTCAATCAAGACAAGTGAGGTTCCAAGACACCGACATCTGGATGCCAAATTGGGACTCTTCTCTGAAAGGCTTTCAACAGTAAAGGAAACATGTGGTCTTCTCCTGGTCCTTTGATGAGCAGAATATTCTTCTATGGAAGCAAAGTGTTCGAAACAATGATCAGAAAAGACAGATACAGAAGAGAGAGACTTTTGAGATAAAATAAAAGTTTTAAAAGAAAGTCTTCAGAAAATCATAGCACAGCTTTTGCAGAGAATGTATTGAATAACATTTACGGAAATAATGATTCAGACTTCCAGATGTGAAAAAAAAATGGTTGGAAATGATGTGAAGTTTATGGTGGGGTGTGAGTAGAGTATAAGATATCTGATCTAATGTATTTTGAAAACTTGACCAAAACGTAGAACTTATTATAAGCCTCTTATATTTTCCTCATTAGCTATGGATTACAGCCACCAAGCAAGGGGTGAAAGCTGGGACATTCTTTTGGTCTGTGTAAGTTACCTTTATTTTGTCAATGTTTTGAAAATTATGATTTGATTAGTTTATGAACTATCAATTTAATTTTGATTTCATTTCAATTAAAATGCAAAAATGTGAGAGTTTTTGAATATTAGTGATGCAGAATAATCTTCTCGGTATATATATATATTTTTTCCTGAAGTCTCACTTCTGTTCCTTTTCTTTCTTTCTCCTCCCACCCTCACATATTCTTCCATCTCTCCATTTTTTTCCATCCTTTCATAATAGAATGTAAATAGGGAAGATTTTTCTCTTTTTCTTTTAGTCACCCTTTAGATTTTTCTATTCTTGTTTATAGGGTTTTGGTAACTTGCTACTCAGGAAATGTACATTTCCTTTATACTATTTATTGTGGTTTGCATTATCATTTTCTACCAATAAATTACAGCATGTTATATTAATTTTTGTTCATGACTTTAAAAAATCCAGTGTGGTCTCAGGCATCTGGGGAGCTGGTAAAGTAGCCTGGAAACTGGAAGTTTCAAAGAAGAGAAGGGAAACTTGGTTTTCCCCATCGACCTCCAGGATTTCTTATGAAACTAGGCCTATTTCTCATACTTACCAAGATTATGGGGGATCAGTAGTTAATGTTTGTGAAAATAAGATGGAACTTACCTAATAAAAGTGTCAATATGTTGATTCTTTTTAAGGCTCCTTAGTAAGAAAGTTTCAACTTTCATGGGGATTTTGTTCTTACTGAGATGTTCTTCTTTCCATCTTTTTTTTTTAAACAACTAAAGCTGTTTCCATATTTGCATTAACAAAAATCTAAATATTCTATAATAGGGGTGTATGGAAAGGAATCACAGGTTCAAATGAATCCAGGATAGTACCATCTATATTCTCCAAATTCGGGAATAAAAGTAGTCTTTTTTTTTTTTTTTCGATTTAGTAGCTAAATTGAAAATGGGGTTAGTGATTTGAAGGTAAAACAGAATGTCCCTTAAAATTTTTTTTTAATTAAAAAAAACGTAGGTTTCTGAGTTGAGAAGTAAGTATGGATATTGTAGAAGTGACACTGTTTAATGTAAAAAACACATTGATTTACCAATTTAATCTTATGCATTATGTATTTTAACTCTTGACCATAATATATGCTTACACAAGTGATTTCTTTGCTCCACAACTTATTTGCCTAGCAGAATGGAGAGGAGCCAAGAACATAATTAATACTTAGTACCCACCTTTACCCCCTCCACTTACCCCCCCCTACTGAAAAGCTTCCTTGAAAAGGCCCAGTGTTCTGGCTTTAAATGGGCATTTTCTCCACCCATTAAACCACTTATAAGAAGGCAGTTTTTGTGTGATCCAAAGATATCTGTAGTTTTGCTTTGCTTCTCAAACTATTCTTTTACCCTTATATCCTGGAAGTAATTTGTATTTATTTTTTCCTTCTCTTTTTGGGAAGCTTTTTATAATTAAAAAATACATGATCATATTTTCAGTTCTTTAAGAGAATTTATATGAAGGAAATCTACATTCTGAAACATTTTAAATTTAAACCCTGATTCAAACCATTGATGGGTTTGAAGATCATCTTGTTTTTATTATTATTTTATTTAACTTTATTTATTTATTTATTTAGACTAGAGAGGGACAGAAAAAGAGACAGACAGACAGACAGGTAAAGTGAGAAAGCCAACCGCCAGGTCGGAGACTTGAACCAGGGTTGACCATGTGGGAATCCAGTGCCTGTAACCACCAGGCCACCTGCCACCCCCGAAGTTCATCTTTTTTGCATGGTTCTGTATTGCAAACCTAGAATTATTCTTGGTTTATCAATGACAGTATTTCATTCCAAAATAATTCTCAGCAGATGTTTTATTGCATCCTTTTATGTCAATTTATGTTCAAACACAGTACTTTCCATTAGGTACGATTGTTTAGATTTATTTTAATCCCAATTCTGCTAATTAGATTGCCGACCTTAAACAAGTGATTGACTCTCTCAGCAGGTTAATGTCCTTGTCTTTAAATAGAGATTATAATACGCTCATCATAGGCTATTGTGAAGATAGAACATAATAACTTATTTAAAGTGATTACTAGGGTGCTAGGTATATAAAGAACAACTAATAAGTGGTATTTGTTTTCTTATTCACATGATCTCTTTCAACATTCATGAAACAATAGCTATATATGTTTTAAAGTAATTTGTTGCCCTTTACCACTAAATCCTTCATCTAGTCCATAATTTTCCATTTTTCTTCTTTTTTTCTTTCTTTTTTATTTATTTTTTTGAATGTTCTTGTTCTGATTGTGTCTAATGCACTTGGTTTCATGACAAATTCTACACCATTCAATGATTGGCCATGTAGCCCATTTCCCTTTCTGTTTCTCTACTTTGATAAAATTTATTTGTGCCATCTCTGAACTGTATCTGAAACACTAATGGCTAACGGGCCATGTCCTTTTGGTTATTTTATATAGACAATTTAAAACTCCTAGGAAGCCTGAAGACCCCTTATCCAACTCTTTATTTAAGAGAACACTAAGTCCTAGGGAGGTTAAATGTGCCCAGAGCCTCATTCTGGATGGATACTCAAAAGTCCAGAGTCATCTTACTCTTCCTGCACACGTACACTCAGCCCATGTTAAGAAACTGATAATCACCTGCTTATTTTCCACAAGAGCAGGATGGTGACTCCTCCATGGTAGTCCTTTTGGTAAGAGTATCTTGTATCTTCATTTATGTACAAAAATGCCTTGACCACAATATGCCTTTAACGAGTCTTTCATGAAAGGATATACAATCTTTGTGGACCTATTTATCCAGTACGTAATGATAAAAACCTAACATTTTTGTAAACCCTGTGTGTCATTCACATTCCTAAGTGCTTTACATGTGCTTTTAATCCTTATGGCAACTTTCTTATATATGTACTGTGTTTCATTATCTTCATGTTATAGAGACACTGAAAGACTAGCCAACAACTTATCACCAGCACTTATTAGAGTCAGGATTCAAATCCCAAAATTTTAGCCTCAGAGCTGTTACTCCCAATTCCCTACCCACTGCTATTCAAATACCTCATCCAATAAGGGAATTAAAAAGTGAGCTTAACACAAATTCTGTCAGCTTCTATTTTTTCATTAGCATTAAAAGTGGGTTCATCAGAGTCCATTTTCGTGGCTTAACCCCAATTAAACAAAATAAAGCAGCTTTTAGGTAGGTAGTGAAATAAGGTAAGGTGAAAAGTCTACAGCATTTGCTATTTTTTTTTAAGTTAGGAAAGAATTCAAAATATGCAATTATTTTGTTCAGATACAAAGGATTTCTAAGGCTGAAGAATTAAATTCCTTAAGCGATTAAGCTGGATTTGCTATTTCTAATTCAATTATAGGATATAATAAACCAGGTCACATTTATTCAATAGTATTGGAGCATGTTTAAATCAGGACTCAGTTTATAGTAAACATGATTTTCTGGTCTTCTGTGATAGTTCTAGACAGAGAGAGATCCAGAGTAAGTGGATCTCCTGCAGAGAGAAGTGGAGTTGGTGGGGTGTTACGAAGTGGTGGTACACAGGGAGAGAGGCTGCCTCCTTAGAGCCCTAGCTATCTACCATGGCTCTGAGGATTTATCTTTCTCCTAGGTCTCTCTCTCATTCACGTCCACCAAGAGTAAATGTTTATATGGCTCACCTAATGCCCTGCAATAATTTTTTCCAAGCTGATTAAATTTGTGCTTTAATTTGAATTCATCATGAATATGCCTCGAATGCCTGGTCTTGGAAGGTGGAGCAAAAAAACACTTTGTGCTCTTCATTAGAAAAGAGTAAGCGAATTTCCCTGCAACTAAAAACATCACTTAGCTTGCAAGCATCTTAACGTAACTCAGTACTATTATGCTAGCTGAGAGTGCTTAAAGCTAGTGCCAGTCTTAGATCATTATATTTCAACAGAGGAATGAGATTTAAACACAAAAATCATTGTGGATGAAGATTATACCCTTTTTGTCGGTCTCATAATTATATGTGCCTATTCTTGATAGATTTTTATAGAGCTGGAAGAGAATTTCAAGAATACCTTCCCTAACCCATTATTTTATAGAAGAGGCACTTAAAGTTTAAGGTTAGATAATGTTTCCAAAGTCATGTGGCTATTTAGAGGCAGAATGATGACTAATTATGATGCATCAATGAAAATAAGAAAAAAGAACAAATAACAGTGAGTTTTTTAGCACTTACTCTGTGCAAGGTACTGTACATATCTTTTCCTTGCCTTAAGTTCATCCTTTCAATCAAGTTATGCAGTATACTTTGTTGTTATGTTTATTTTACTGATGAGTAAATTGAGGCTGAGAGGGGTCAAAGGCCTGGGGTCGACAGAGGTCACACTATCAGCAAGAGGCAGACTGAGGCTGTAAGTACTGCAGCCACAGCTAAAGGGTTGACTCACAAAAACTGCAATAATTCTGATGTGAAGGAAGGTCCTTTCTGTTCATAGCAGAGTTTCTGATCAGAAAGGCACGGTCCTCATTTTGACTGTGAATCAGAGTTTCCAGTACAGTCTTCTGTGGAAGAGGTTGAGCAATGTAATATGTTGCAAATGAGAATGGAAGTTTGAACGCTAATTCGAAAGTCGGCCTTTTACTATGACGAAGTGAAAACAGATGGTGGTAAATAGAGAGCATTTGGCCTGGGTGCAAGAGCAAGCACTCATCAGGCTTGAGTTTATGGAAATACAACCTAACAGCACGCTTTACTTGTTATTATTCCACAGTATCATCCCTCATGAACGGAGAATATTAACCATACTGCAGTGGCTCACTCTGCCAGACAACGAGAGGTATTTGTTGCCCTCCAACTGTCTTTCTTTCTTCTTTTTGCAGTACATTTCCATCTTAGCTTAGAACTGGTTGAAACAGTTGGGCTGTGAAATAGAAGCACAGTCAAAGTTTGATATTATTAAAGGCTTTGTGGTTCTCAGCCTTAAGCACTACCTCCCTAAGAAGGATACAGTGGACTTTGGTTATTGGGGACCATTTAATTACATGGATTACTACATCTATTAATCCTGGCCACTTCGGCAGAGCTGAAAAGAGTTTCTTTCTGGCTTTGATAAATAAATTAGCAACATCCCCAGAACTGGGGAACCATTAAGCCTGACTTACTTTAATAGTTAGCTGTACTTGGAAGTAACAGATTGTATAGCCATAGTAAATTATTAATTAATTAATTAATTATTATTATTATTATTTTTTTTGAGAGATTTTCACTGTAGGGCGCGTGCGCTCGCCAGACAGACAGAGAGAGACATAGAGACAGAAAGTGAGAAATCACCCCCCCAGGGGGGATGGTCACGCCGCAATCCCTTCTCCTCCATTCTCCTCTCGGGATCTTGGGCACGCACGCACACGCGCCCGGCGTGAGTTTTAAGCCACCAGGTCCGGGACACGAACCGCGGTCGACTACGTGGGAGTCCAGCGACATAGCCATTACGCTAACTGCTGGTTCCCTAATTAATTATTTTTTAGAGAGTTTTTTTGCTATAGGGCACATGCGCTCACTGGAGAGACAGAGGCAGAAAGAAAGAAATCACCCCCTAGGGGGATGGCTACACTGCAGTCCCTTCCCTGTTCTCCTCTTGGGATCTTGGACATGCACATACATGTGCCTGGTGTGAGTTTTAAGCTGCCAGGTCTGGAACTTGAACCACAGTCAACTACATGGAAGTCCAGCAACATACCCATTATGACACCTGCTGGTCACTAGCCAGCATAAATTATTACTGGGCTCTGTTATATTCAGGATCAAAAAACAGGCTGAGTGCATGTTCAAATTTTTCTTTGTGACTTTGGATTCAGACAGTTACCACAGTGGGGTGGTATGGCTGGAGATGGGCATAAAAACGAGAGGAACTAAAACGTTTCCCATGGGAATACTAACAGTGGTTGGGAGATCAATTAAATTAGAGAGGATTTTTAAAAATATATCTAGAGATATTTGATATTCTTGTTATGTATGGTTTGGAGGAAGATCTGAGCCTTTCACTTTTCCTGTAGGCCTTCAGTCTATGCCTTCTATTCTGAACAACCTGATTTCTCCGGACACAAATATGGCCCTTTTGGCCCTGAGGTTAGTAGCTTATCATCTGCATGAGAAGGACCTGTGTTCCTGGGCCATCGGATCTACTGACATCATTTCAGGATTTGTATAGAGCCTTGGGGAATATTCATATCTACAAAGTTTATACATAGTCAAATAATTATAAGACTAAACATTTTTTAAAAATCTTAAACATACTTGTTTCTCTTACAGGAACTTCAGTTCAGATTGGTTTGACATTCAAACATATCATAAACTTGGAGTTAATGGGAAATGGGGTGCAGGAGAGCCTCATGGTCATCAGTCACAAGGTGGAGGATGATCAGGAAGGGGTGGCACTGCTGTCATTGGATTAGGAGCCTAAAGGAATCTTGAGTTCAGATCTTCAGTACGAAGCATTACTGAACTGAATTTCAGTATCCTTAAACTAATAACCATGTGATTCCAGTAGGTCAGCTAAGTGACTTCAATAGCCTCGGCAGGTAGAATCAATTTGACATAGGTTATAGTATCGGACACTTTTATTTGATAAATTTGATATATTTGTCAAATATTCACAGTATTTGACATACACTGTGAAACCATCACTATGCTCAAGAGTGTGACCACATCCATCACCCCCGAAATGAATTCTTTTGTTGTTGTTGTTATTTTTAAGGAGTTTTTGCTTTAGAGTATGTGTGCTCATAGGAGAGAGAGAGACATGGAGATAGTGAGAGGGAAAGTGAGAAATCACCCCCCAGGGAAGATAGCCATGCTACAATCCCTTCTCCTCCATTCTCCTCCTAGGATCTTGGGCATACATATACATGCCTGGTGTGATTTTTTGAGCTCCCAGGTCCTGGACTTGGCTCACGGTGAGCCAAACAGGAGTCCAGTAACATAACTGCTATGCCATCTTTTGGCCCTAAAGTGGTTTCTTAATTCAGAGAAACATACATACTGCATGGCACCCTTCAAACACTAAGCCATCTTATTAGAAGACAATCCATTTGTAAACATCCTGTGTAACTTCAAATTCAGGAGGTGGGAAAGGGATGGTTGTGTTTTATGATGTTCCTCTTTCACCTAGAAGGGGTTTCTTCCCAACATTTCAGCAAAGATCATTTTGATAAGTGGTGAAGTTTGCATATTTAAAGTTTGTTTGTTTGTTTATTTATTTTTACTATATATCCCTTTACACCTCTCTTTCTTCATAGGGTCACAAGATCTCTCTTAACACAATACAACTTGATTTTTGCTGAGAAATTATCTTAAAAAGTTGTTTATGGAAACTGAATCCAATTCTTCAAAGCCTCTGACAATCCTTAGACTGTAATTAAGTTCATAGAGTTCAGGATACGGATGACTTGGCAATACAGGTCAATTTATCTTTGTTTCCATATTTTTGAACAAAGGCAGTGAAGAGCCACAAGTATTTCTGAATGCTTTAACATCAACTCAGTAGTGATTTTTTTTTTTTAAGCCTTAGAAACTAAGGGCTATGTGAAATCATTCCTAGTTTATCGTAAATCATTGAAGTCATATAAGTCTGATGCACTTTTTCTATCCCTTTGATGTTTAACTAGTATTGAATGATTATGAAACAAATAATAAAATGAGATAAACATCTGCATACAGGAAACACAAATCTTATTTTCCCAGGAAAGAAAACCAAAGCAAGAATAGCTGTTTTATCTTTAGGATAACTTTCTTTGAGATTAATCTAAAGTGAATAAAAGGAATCACATTTTATTAAAATGTTAAAAAGAATAAAACAAAACACCTAAGCAATTCCATGTGCCCTCTTTAAAAGTTTGACTTTTCTTGGATAATAATATCCCCTAAAAGACCCTGGGGGTTGACAAAACAAGGTTTGGTATAGACTTTCTTTTACAAGCAGGAAGCTGATACTTAAAGAGATTTGGGGCTGCTCAAGTTTCTTGGCTGGTTAAGTGGAGAACTTAGAGTTAGAACCTCAGAACTTCTGACTCCCTGACTTTGGTCCTAACCATGGAACCATATGGCCCTTCTTCAGTCCAGGGATTAGCAGATTGTTCAGTTAATAACTATATTCAAATCACACAGAGCATTTTCTTTATGACAAAAGTTGGTTTTGAACAATACAGAATAGGCTGTATCTCATGCATTAAAAGCTATATGGCTTAACAACAAATGTTCTTTATCTATGATCATCTTTGGATTTCTATTATGTGTAATTTAGTTACAATGAAGTACATGAAAGCTTGTGTTTTAATTAAGAAATAAATTTTTAAAGCACTGAGAAATAAATAAATAAATGAACCATGATATAGGGCATTTTAATTTATTGTAATGATGGTTTCCATGCCCATGGTTGCTCATAAATGTACAAACAGACTCTTCCCTATAGAACTTTTTAATTAAGATTTAGAAGTATTCATGTCATGTTCTTTATAGAATTACTTCTTTTTTTTTTACAGCAGGGGTATTCTCGTATGTCTACTGGGTAAACACTCTTTAATTATATTTCTAACAGTATATCCTCAAGAACAGTAACCTGATAACCTGCTCACTTTCTTCTCATAAGCCAAGGGATTTTTCCAGATTTCAACTATTTCTCATCTACTTCTAGGAATCTTATTTTAACTGAAAGAAAAACAAATCAGTTTACTCTTTTAAAACACGAAACCAAACCAAGTCAGCAACACCTCTCCTCTGTTGTAGGCTAGTTGGTTTATATACCTAAACAGCCTATGTAATATCGATATGTCATCATGTACATTTACGATGCATGAAAATATTATTCATAGTAGCTGAAAGATTTTTTTTAAATCAGTAACATGCTAGCTTTTTATATATGAGGGGGAAAAAACTTGCATTTGAAATTTAATTGAAATAATTGTATTATAGCAAAATGCTGTATGCTATAATAAGTAAATTCAGTTGAAATTTGTGATTTATTTGCTTAATATTTGAGTACACTTTTTTTCCAGAATGATTCTCAAAAGCTATTAAATGACATGACCCAGCACTGGGTTAATAGCTTGAAGAAATGGTGTATTGCTCCTGGTTTCATAGTGTAATGGTGAATGTTCAAAAATATGCTTGCTTTTGATTATCGGCACAATCTTTTTCTGTTTGACCTTCTATGCTTTCTCTTTGACCTCTTGTTCGGCTGCTCTTCCAGGCCTAGAGGCAGAGCTTTGGCTGGCTAGTCCCTACCTTCAGATTGCATAGTATCCTTCTGAAAAGCAGGAAAATTTGCCCCTACCTTCCCCATCCTCTTAATAACCTCAGGCTAAAATTTCTAAATTCAGGCTAAAATATGGCTGGTCAGTGAAAACTTAGCTTTCATTACTTCTAACATTTGAAGAAGGAAATACATGCAATGTAATCACTGTATGAAAACCCAGTTCGACTAAACCTATTTCTTCTTCTGCTCCTCTAACCTGCTGCAATGGGAAGGGCTCACGTCTGGAGTCTTCAGAATGTTGAGGTCTATTGCAAATGGCCTAGTGTTTGATGTGCAGACTTGAGCGCTAGCTGGAATGTCTTCAGTGACCATGAAATGGGAAACTTTCTTTTCCTTTTGCTGCTCTTCTCATGGAGATGTGCATAAAATTAGAAGCATTAAAAGAAAAACAAAACAAAGCAAAACAAAAAACTGTTGTGCTGTGTCTTTCAATTGCTCTGCCAGAGAGAAAGGTTGAGATAGAAACAGAAGTGCCTTTGCCGTCGCTTGCCCTGGCAAGCGTGAAACCGCATGGCA